ATTACTATACATTTATAACACTTTGCTATATTAAATTTTCCTCTTTAAAAAGGTTTAGACCTCCTTTTCGTTTATTTTTTGAGATAGGGTCTCACTATGTATTTCAGACTGGTCTTGAACTCATTATGTAGCTCTGGCTGTCCCAAACTTGAAGTGATCCTCCTGCCTCAGCCTCCTGGAGTGCTGGGATTACAGGCATGTGCCATCCCACCCAGCCACATGTTTAAAAGCAGATTCTATAGTTACAGGAATAAAATGTTTCCAATGGAGGTGCGGACAAGATTCTTTTGCGGACTCATGTATTCACAGTATCACACACACTCCATTCTAAAGGTCTGTTAATTTTGTTGATCAACTCACCAAGAGTTACAACTACGTGGATATGTTCCTGGCTCCTAGTGTGCCAAATTTAACACTGGTAAATCAAATCTAGGTAAATACCTACTCAAAGACTACAACAAATGGTATTTTCTTTCCTTTCTTTTTTCTTTTTTTTGAGATGGGGTCTCACTATATAGTCCAGGTTAGCCATGAACCCACTACGTAGCCCAGGCTGGCCTCAAACTTGTGGTGATCCTCCTGCCTCAGCCTCCCAAGTGCAGGGATTACAGGTGTGTACCACCAAGCCTGGCTATTTTTGCTCTATTTAAGGCAGACACTTGTGACCTAGAATTGCAGGACTCAATCCAAACTCCTATCACCTTCTTCTCCTGGGCAGTATAGTCCTAAATTTGTCTTTAAAAGCAGTTACAGCCAGGCGTGTTGGTACACACCTGTAATCCCAGCATTCAGGAGAGATTTAAGAGGACTGCATGAGTTCCAGGCCAGCCTGGGCTAGATAATGAGTTCAAGACCAGACTCTACCAGGTGAGACACTGTCTCAAAAAACAACAAACAGGGCCAGGATTTACCTCAGTGGTTTGGCCACCTGCTGTGCAGGCGCAAGGACCCAAATTCAATCCCAAATTCAATCCCCTGTACCAAAAACAAAAAAAACAAAAAAAAACAAACAGGCATAGCACCTGCCTTACAAGCACAAGCGGTACCAAAACAACACTAACAACAAACAAACCAAAAAAAAAAAAAAAGCAGTTATAAATAGGAACTGGGTTTCTTTTGAGGGAGATACTAATGTTCTAAAATTGACTGTGACGATGGTTATGTATTTGTGAAAACACTAAAAACCACAAAACACATGCTATATATTGGTGAAATACAGTATTTTTAAAAAGTTCTTCCTGGGCCAGGGATGTAGCTCAGTATCGCAGAGCCTGCCTGGCAAGTGCAAGGCCCTGGAGTTTGATCCCTGAGGGAGGAGGATCTCAAATTCAAGGCCAGGTTGGGCAAATTAGGGAGACCACTGCTCAAAATAAGTGAAAAAGGGCCAGGGATGGAGTTCAGTAATAAAACACTCACCTAGCTTCCAGATGGCCCTGAGTTTAATCCCCAGTACCACAAAGAATATTTCTATTGATAAGCCTTTTTCTCCTAGTGTCAAAGGTTTAAAGTGGCTAGAGAATAACCACAACAGGTGAATTACTGTATGACTAAAGACAGTAGCCAGGTGCCATGGCACACACCTGTAATCCCAGCACTCAGGAAACTGAGGCAGGAGGATTGCCTCTGGTTTGGGACAGCCTGGGCTACATAGTGAATTCAAGGCAAGCCTAAACTACTAGTGAGACCCTGTCTCAAAAAAAAAAGATAGTAGGCCGGGGATTGTTCTGCCACCTGCCTTGCAAGTGCAGGGTCCCAAGTTCAATCCCCGGTACCAAAAAAAATTTAAAAATTAAAATAAATAAATAAATAAATAATAGTAGAAAAACAGTGGAGAATGTATCTCTGTGGTAGAGTGCTTGCCTACCATAAATGAGGTCCTGGGTTCAATCCCCAACACCACCACAACAAAAACAAACCAACAAACAAACAGAGGGTAAGACCAAAGTCAAACCCAAAAAACAGGTTGGAATGGGCATAAATGAGCCCACTAACACTTCTACCATAAAAGGGAATTTATATTTAAGTTCTTCCTTGTTCTCTATGGGTAGAACCAAGAGGTTCACTCAAAGATGCTAACTGTATTAAAACAAAGCAGTTTTATATTTTGCCTATAAAGATGAAAGGATCAAACTAGTGACCACAGGAAGTTAAACTGAAAAAGAAAAGGTTATTATTGCCATCTGGGATTTGATTTAAAGCTCTCACTTTTGGGCACTGCCAAAGAAATCTGGGGAATCTCCCTATCTACCGCCAAATGTTAGATGTTTGGAGGCAGTATAAAAAGTTATTAAAGCCACCAAATACATATAACTCCTATGAAACTTGGGAAATTCAAAAAGAATTTACTGAACAGTCAACTATTTTTTTTTGCCTATAGTTGTTATACATACCCCTAAAATTAAATGAACCTTCTCCAAATACGACAAAGTGATGTGGAAAATATTCTATGTCCTTAAACAAACATCTAAGCATATGAAGGAGGAAATTAAAATTTGTCTTTTGAAGGTAACAAAGTCAGAAACCAGATTAACTGTAAATTTAAAAATGTCTCAGCTCAAAAAACAACCCTGGTTGTCTTATATACTTGATATATTTTGAAACAAAAGTCTTATTTCTCCCCTTAAACTATTTGAATATAGTTATTCTGACTTAAGATTTTCATCCTATTTATCCTGCTATGTTTTCACAAACTCCTATGCTCTCACATACAAAGTAATCTGAAGAGCCACCATCCTAAAGCAAGCAGTTTAGGACTCTCACTCAGAAAGCGCCTATAAACTGAGATTAAGTATGATTAATTAAAGGTACCAAGAACAAGAAACATATGCTTTATAATTCTCTCTTGCCTAACAAGTAAAATGCCAAAAGCCCCAATTCCCCTGTTTAAGACAGCCCACTGGTGTTCCAAAAACTCAATGAACAAAAATCACCCAATAAATACAAGCAGTATAAAGAAGTCAACATAAAAAATATTTCTCTGGGAAGGTTTTTTGTTTTGGGGGCGGTTTGTTGCTGCTGTATTTCAACTATAGGAAACCACTTGTTCAAGGCTAGTTTTCCTAAAACCAAACAGTTTCTAAAACAAAGACTGTTTACCTCTCTTAAGCAGTCTTTGTTTCAAAAAGACCCCCTTTTTAAGAGCTACAACTTCTTGAAAGATTTCCCGTTTAGTGGTTATATCAACACCAAATACTCCTAAACTCTTTCCATTTGGCATAGTAGTTTGTTAAACAAAGGAGGAAGCAAGCCCCCTCTACACAAAGGAGGTCTCCAAAACAGAGCCTTGGTTGTTTGTACATTATTTGTTCCTCACTACCCCCTTTCTGTAGCATAAAGTATTCTCAATACAAAATGGTGGCCATCATGTCTGTCTGACATTCAGAGTGGGGAAAGGCAGTACAATCGCACATTTTGCAGAGTGCCATTAATGTGCTAGTCTAGGTGAAGAAACGGGTAGCCAAACCTAACCACAGCAACACTATCTTTTTGTGAAAAGGGGCTATGAATACCAAACAAGATAAAGGAATTTACCCTAGCCCTAGTATACCACAATACCAACATGGAGGACAACTCCCAAGAACCTAACTCCTCACATTTTGGTTACCAACAACTTACTCAAATTTGCCTAATTTCTGAATAAGGTCCCATTAAGGCAAATGTCCTATATTCATATTCGACTTTCCTAGCATCTTACAGAAAGCTAAACTGCTAAATGTTTGAAACGACCTATTCTTCAAGAATTAAAACCTTGGCTCTAAGCAGCCCCGGGTATAACTTCTGCAGGCCTCTTTACACTAAAAGCAATGTACCGTGCTCCTCTTAAAGCAGCGATAACCAGCCTTGTTCACTATACCAGGGAAAAAAAGGGGGACCTATTTTCAAAACACTACCCCCCTACTAGCTGGCCACATATTTCATCTCTTATTTGTCAACTTGTCCAAAAAAACTCAAGTATGGTGTCTTGTTTTTAATTGTGGGGGAGGGGAGAGGGGAGGAGGGAGGCAAAGGAGGACTTATTCCGGGACCTTCCTTCAAAACAGCGTCCCAAAAGCCAGCGAAGAGCGAGCCCCAGCAACTCCAGGGATCATTACAAAGAGCAAGTTGAAGGGGAAGGGGAAGGGGAAGGGGTGGGGGTGGGGCTGGGGTCCCCAGGGCGGGGACGAGAGGGAGGCGGTTAAACCCCCTCCAACCGCCGCGGCCCGTCCAACCGTCGCTCGGGCCGGCTCCAACCCGGACCTTCCCAAGGGTGGGCGCAGGCACAGCGACGTCGGGCACCCAGCTCGGGCCGGGGGGCGGGGCGGGGCGAGCCGGGCGGTCCCCGGATCGCGGGCAACACCGCCCCCAGCCCCCGCCAAGGACCTGACAGGGGACTTGGACTTCGGAGGCCGGGCCGGGCGCCCGCCAAACCCTCCGAGGTCCCGGCCGCAACGCCGCCCACACCCCAGCCCCACGGCCCGGGCTGCCGTCCCCGCCGCCCCCCGGTGCCCCTCGACACTCGCGTCCCCAGAACACGTCCACCGCAGGCCCGGCCCAGGCTCCTCCCCGCCCGGGCAGCGCCGGCCGCCCCTCCGCGACCCCGGCCCAGGGGGCACCTGGAGGCCCGGGCCGCGCGGCGTGGGGGCGCCCGGTCCGCAAGGTGGGGTGCCCAGGTGAGGCCCGCTCCGGGCCGCCGCCGCCGCCACACAAAGGACCAGGGGCTCCCGCCGCCATATTGAAAACTTTCCTCCTCGCACGACAACTCGCGAGTCCCCCGCCCCCACCCCACCCCACCCCCGCACCCCTCGCTCCACGCCGGGCCCGGGGCTCGCAGACGGCCCTCGAATCCCGCCACCTCCATCCGGAGGCGGCGGGGCCCCGCGGCTCCCCTCACCTCCCACCCAGAGCGGCCCCGACTGCGACCCCGGCAGCCCCAACGCGACGAGGCCCACGGGCGCCCCCGGCTGAGCCCCACGACCTCGCTCCCCAGCCCGGAGCGGGGCCCGGGATGCTGGGTGACTCACCGGCGGCGGGCGCACCTTACAGATCCCGGTCTGCTCTGCGATGGGCCGGATCTTGTGGATGAAAGCGAAGGGGTCCGCGAACTCTTCCCAGCTGGGCTCGAAGACCGGACACTCGGGGGGGGGCAGGAACTCGCCCAGCGGGCCCGGGCCCCCGAGGGGCATCGCCGGGCGCGGGCCCGGGGGCAGCACGGTGGCCGGCTCCATCCTGTGGGGCTAGCGGGGGCGAGGACGGGGCTGTACAGGCCTGGCGCTGGCGACACCGAATCCGACTTGGACCAGCAACGGCAGCACCTTGGGCTTTTTCCTGCGACGACGTCTTGCCGCTAACCCACGCTGTGCGCCTCCGCCGCCACGGCGAGGAAAAAGAGTCCCACCCCCACCCCCACCCCCACCCCCTGCGCTGAGCTCCCCGCCCCGCCCTTGAATCGGGAGGGACCGGGGCCTGCCTTCTGGGGATGAGATGATCCTGATGGTTCAGTCCACCCAACATTTATTGATCATTTACTACCTGTCAGAGTCCCTCCCCTCAAGAAGTTAATAGTCTGATAGAGAGGATCAGACACATAACGCGATCAGTCAATCGCAGTCAGTACTCTGCCAGGATAGAAGTAAACACTTCGCAAGCCCCAAGAGGGCAGAAACAGCAAGGGGATTGGAGGAGGATTTTTCTAGGCAGGGAGAACAGCTTGAACATAAGAGCAGCATGGAGGTGAGAAAGCAATAGTCATGAGGATGATCATCATTTCGACCAGTTTTCATATCCAGTTTCATAGCGCTCTAAGTGCTTTGCATGATTAATCATCTGACCTACACAACAACCCTGTTCTTATGTGTTTCACAAATAAGGTTTATGCAGTTTGCCCAAATCCATAGGACAACCATGTTCTACTATACACATTAATGGGGCCTAAATTAAGGCAGTGGTGCTACTGATTAGAAAGAAGGGATGCAAGTGTAGGAAATAAAATTAGGACACAGAGACAGAATGGGAAGAAACCCCGAGGTGTGAAAGATGATTCCAGTGCCTGCCATACCTGCCTAAGTGGATGGGCCCATCAATGTTGCCTGGATGTTCACGCTGAAGATACTGCCACAGGAAGTCACTCTAGGGAAGAGGATAATGTGTTTACTGCGGGACATACTGAGCTTGGTACATGGAGCTGGAGGTTCCCAAAAGGCCGAAGAACAGAATCTGAAGGGGAAAGATCGGAAGTGGAGATACAAACCTGGGAGAGCCTAGCCTATTTGGGCTGCCATTATTTACATAAGGCTGTGGTGTGTAAGGCATTATTCTATGCACTTTGTGTATTTCAGCTCACTGGTCTTCCCAGTAATCCTACTGGGTAGGTACTGCTGTTATCCCCACTGTGCAGACAGAACAGGCAATGGAGGCTCAGAGAGGTTAAGTAACTTGAAGAGATATGAACACAGGAACTTGGGGGGGGGGCGTTATATTTGAGTATCTGGCTCCAAAAAGAGGAGAAAGTTCGAAAAGAACTTCAACAAAGAAATCACCTCTTTTATCCAGAAAGCAGCCAAACTCATTGAAGGACTGTTTGCCAGCGCCTCTATAAAGAGGGGTCCATAAAGTCTTAGTCCTATTTTCAGTTTCACCAAGAGAAAGGAAGTCTATACCCGAAAGGAGAAAAAGGCCTCCTCTTAGATAAAATTCCCAGAGGTACTTGGGGTACAAAAAAGTTCACAGTGTTCTTGGAGAAAGTAGACCTTTTCTTAGCTCTTTAGGGCTTTTGGACCTGGCTAAAAGCCTTTTCCTGCTCCCCAGTGCAACAGAGGCTCAAGCAAAGGAGGCAGTTGGCATCCTATCAGAAAAAAATCACTGATGGTAGGAGACTAACAAATTCTATGGCTAGACATGGTGGCACAAACCCATAGTCCCAGAACTGGGAAGGCTGAGGTAGGAGGGTCACCACGAGTTCAAGGCCAGCCTGGGTTATATAGTGAGTTCAAGGCTACCCTGAATTACAGAGCAAGACCCTGTCTCAAAACAACAACAAAAAGTTACAGTGATAGAATCTAGGTCAGTGATGGCAAACTTTTAGAGGAACGTGGGAAAACTGCAAGCTAAAACCCACTTATTTATTGCAAAGTAACAACACTGTCATTAAACCTGCATCTTGAGGTTTTAGTTCAGAAAAAACAACTCATACATTAATATCTCTCATCTTAAAAGAGAAACACAGCAACAGCTGTTACAGATACAGCTTTGTATAGAAAAGTAGTTTGCATTTGGCATGCTTTTGCCCAATTGTAATGTTTTTCGTTGTATCATACTGATAATTTATCAAACCTTGGCTGGGGTGACTTGCTGACAGAGAGGGCTCTGTATGCCTGCTGTGGCACATGTGCCATAGGTTCGCCACCACTGATCTAGGTAGTCCGTAGAGAGGAACTTGGGGCAAATTATTTTTTAATCTTTGAATATTTTAATATTTTCATAAGACGGTGTTGGAGAGAGAGAAAACATCGTTGCTCTTCGCCCTGGGCGTCCTGTGCGGTGAGGGTCTTGCTGGAGTTGATTTCCTGTCATGCGCTCTCTCTTGGGAGAGCTGTAGGTATTTTCATCCTCAACGCTGGGATCCTGCAAGCGAGGCAGGTTTAACTTTGAAAATTCTAGACATGTGTGAACTGTGGCTATTATTTAGCTGAAGGGCACAGGAGGAAGACGCCTAATAAAGTCTCAGTTCTCAGCTGTAGGCTGGGACTCCCTCTGGGACTCCTTCTGGCTCCCAACTCAACAGGGTCCTGCTTCCTCCATTTCCGGTAGCGACTCTGTGATGAACTGCTATTGCTTCCAGATCGGGCAGCAGCTGTTTGGCTCCGCAGGGACTCGGTGTGACGTTACGGGGGAGGCGGCTCCCAGGCCAGTGAGGAGAACTGGGGAACCAAGAGGGCTCTCCAGGAAGGCGACCCCAGCCCGCAAAGACGCTTCCTCTTGCCCTTTATGAAGTGTGTTTACATGGGCGGAAGGATCCAGCTCAGCTGACAGCCGCACCGCGCCGGCCCTTCTTTTTTTAAAGAGCCTCGCCGCAGGAGCTGATTGGCCGCGCCTGGGCCGCGTCGGCCTCCGGGGGCGGGGCCTGCTCCGCATTGTCTGGTCCCAGCCGGCGGATGCCCAGAGGCCGACCTGGGCCACCTGGCCCAGCTCCTCGAGGGCTGGGCGCGAGGCCGGGACGGGATCGGTCCCGGGTCTGGGGCGGAAGCGGGGCCGGGGCCCAAGCGGAACCGAGCCCTGCTACTAGTGCCACGTCCCCAGGAGACCCCTCCTTACTCCAGGACGACACTCCGCCCCCGCCCGGGCATCGGTCCCCCAAGCAGCTCCGGGGCCCTTTGGACACATTTCTAGGGATCGCCATCCTCGTGCGGCCCACTCAGTCCGGGACCTAAGCCCCCAACCACTGAACCCGCCCCCGCCCCCGACCTTCGTCCCAAATCTGCAGCTCGCCCGTTGGCCCACCCGCCTGCCAAGGAGGCGTCTCCGGGCTCCTTCTGGCCGCCCCGACAGCAAAGACCACGTTCCTGGGGCCCGAAGTGGGGAAGCACCCTTCCCCTCCGGTCTGCTGCCCCGGGACCGGGCCACAGGATGAGGCGGGCAGCCCGCTCCCCAGTGGCCGGGGAGGGCGACGGCGCAGCACGTAGCGCACGTGTGGGGCCGAGCCCCGCCCAGGCCCCGCCTCCAGGCCCCCGTCCCCGCCCCGTGACTCCCCAGGCTTGGGGTTCCATGTGCGCTTCCCTAGCAGCGCCGAGTCCATCCCAACGCCAGCCTTCCTTGCCCTCCTCTATTAACCCCTGTCTCCTAAGAGCACGGGCCAGACCCTCGCAGCTTCTCATCTCCAGTTCAAGGCCAACATTTCCACCTCCCGCCTCTGTGCCCAGGGATGTCTGGTCAGATGCCCTTTGGGGAAACCCACAAACCCCGGGATTCGTCTCCTTGTTTTACTCAGTTGTTTATTCCCACTCCGTCTGGTTACTGCCCTTGAGCGCCGCGCCTAGAACTCTGTGTCTTTTCTGCCTCTGCCTCCCCGATGGGAAGCCGCCAGCGCGGAGGGCAGCAGTCTCCGCCTTAGCACCGGGCGGTGGAGGCTCCGCGAACGTCCGTTAATGGGGAGCAGAAATGGCCTTGAGTTTCTGTGGCTCCGATTGGCGAGAATGCAGCTTGCCCAGGCCAGACGGGAAAATCTCTCAGAGCGGAGGGAGGGCTGGGGGAGCCCGCGAGGTGGGCGAACACGGCTGAGATGCGATGAGCCGTCCCCCTCACCTAACCCGCCTCTGCCCTCCTCTTCCCGTGGCCTGGGCTCTTTCTTGAGACGCGTGTGCTCCCTGTGCTGGACTCCTCTCCCCTCCTTACACCACCGCCAGGGGCTCATTCCGGGCTTCCGTCCTTGCATTGCGAAGCTGGGTGTGAGTCTCGGTGAGGCTCCTGGTATTCGATACTTCCTTCTCCCGTCTCTTTTTCCTTTTCGGTCCTGGCTGTTCCTCTCCTGGGGACACCCCCACCCCACAAGCCTCTATCGGAGCTGCACCCCCACCCACTGCCCCTTCTCCAGTCCGGGAGTCTCTTCTGCTGACTCAACGCAAGTTGAGAGCCTAGGTCGCTGCACCTGGTTCTAAGTAAGCTTCGGTTTACCTGAGCGTGGAGCCCAAAGGATGAGGCTTGGGTAGGCCAGGCCCCAGCAAATAAGCTGTTCCCACGATGCAGACGGCCCGCCCATGGGGTTGGGGTGGCAGAGGAACCCACACCAGGGTGTGTTTCTTCCCCTTCCGGTTGGGCCATTTTAGAAGCCTCTCACTCCCAAGGTGCTGAGAGGAAAACCCCCATGTCTCGTTCCTCCTGCAGCTGCAGCACATCTAACTAGGGTCTCTGAGATGAGAGCCCCTGTCAGCATGCTCCGTGGTGGCCGGTGGCCGTGGAGAGCTGGAATGTTTGGAATTCTCTGTATCTGGGATGGAAGTCTTAATGCAGAGGATGGAAACTGGCTGCAGAGCTGCGTGGGGACTTTACAGAGCTCCACCCCACCCACCATCCCCGCTGGAGATTCCACTTTCAACCAGCTCATGCCAGTGTCTGGCCTAGCATCATGTATGCTACATGTTACACACTTATTCTCCTTTTTCTCTTCCGTGGCAGGAACGGGTGATATGTGAACAAATGGAAATACTCTTCCAACATGAGTAAGAACAAGTCACTGGCCAGCAGTAATTCACTGTCATATTGGCCAGCTTTTCAGTTGCTGGGACAAAATACCCACCTTACGAAGTTTAATGGAGAAACGGCTTAGGGTGGCTCTCAGTTTCAGAGGTTTCAGTCCGTGGTTGGCTGGCCCCAAGGCAGAAACATCATGGCAGAAGGGCGTGGCAGAGGAAAGCTGCTTACCTCTCCGCAGACAGGAAGAAGAGAATAAGGAGAAGAGCGTTGGAAGATGGGGGTGGGGACAGGATAGACTCTTCCAGCTTATGGCCCTGGGGACCTACTTCCTCCAACCAGGCCCCACCTCCTAACAGCACATTCAGCAATGGAGCCCAGTGACCTCATCACCTTCCCAAAGGCTACTTCTGAGTGCGTCAGCCTTGGGGGGCATTTTTGATCCAAACCATGACAACAGTCTCTTGCACACATCAACCCCATGAAGTATGTGATATGATTGTCATCATTTTTCAGGTGAAGAAATTTGAAACTCAGATTCATCAGCCAAAATCACCCAGATAACGGTATCAGAGCTAGGATCAGAATGGCACTCCTAGGGCCTGCCTTTCAGCTTCCTCAAACATGGGCTGACCTCTGTGAGGCTGAGCAGAGGACAGGAGCTCTCGCCTCACATCCATGGCCACCTGTCCCTTTATCTGCCAGCATGGACCACCATCTCCCCTCTAAGCTGCAGTGGCCCCAAACTTCACCTGTCACCTCCAGAACTCTTGTTTACATAGCAACAGCAACAGACCTACATGCAGGTTGAGCCCCAGTAAGTCTATTTTGCAATCTGTAATGGATTGTGACCCTCAGTTTGAAAAAATACTGCTCCAAGGTGAGCTCCCCCCTGCTTCCTGCAGCTTTCAAGATGTTCACAGACACAGCCGAGGGAGGACCCTGTGAAGATAACTGGAAGAGTTATCTTCCGAAAGCCCAGCACAGGGCCTCAGGGGAAAAGTCCTGTGGACACCTTGATCTTGGGCTTTTTGCCTCCAGAATTAGGAGAAAATAAATTTCTGTTCTTTAAACAAATTCCTTAAAGTAAATCAGTATCTATCCCCCCTCATTAGACATATAGAATATGTATATGCAGGATATATATGAAAAGGGTACACATCCACCCACCCTATTGATGGTTCCATTTCACTAAAGAACTCTGACAAATTACAGTCAAGAGTGGGTCCTCCCACTCATACCAATCTAGCCTGCCTGCCTTTCTTTCTTTCTTTCTTTCTTTTTGAGACAGGGGCTCCTGTTCCAGGCTGTCCTTGAACTTGTGATCCTCCTGCCTCAGCTTCCAAAGTTCTAGGATTATAAGCACGCACAACCATGCTCACCTCATACCCACCTGATCTTGAATTTCAGCCACTGCCCCCTGTCCCCCACCCACAGTAAGACCCCAGAACATTGTCTACATGACATACACAGTTGATGATTGTATTTAGCTCTTCTGTATTTCATTGTTCACCATTCACTTGTCTACACTCTTCTACTTGTTTCCCACCTAACTCTGGCTGCAGCTCATCAAACCAGGGGTCACTTTGCACCCGTATTTGTAGCACCTTATGCCAAACAGGTGCCAAGCATAAGACTGGCATCTAACAGAGAGTCTTCAAATCTTCTGAAAGCTGACTTTGCTCAAAATAAGCCAAGGGGTGAGGTCGCCAGAGGGAGGCAGGGAGAAGTAAGCAGGCAGGGCCAGCACCACTCAGACCAGAGTTCTGATGTATCAAGCAAAGCCTATTATTCAGTCTGTTATGTAAGCTCTCCCAATTTTTATTATTCATTTTGTTTTTTTGAAACAGACTCTTGCTATGTAGTCCAGGCTGGCCTTGAACTCACAATCCTCCTGAGTTGGCCTCCTAAATTGCTGGGATTTACAACCATACACCACCACACCCTGCCCAATTTTAAAATGTTCAACTTTCAATCACAGTGTATGATCAGATGCAGTGTGGTCAGACTATATTCTGGGTGGAGCCCCTGGCTGTCCATGCCAGGGGACCCCATGGGCTGACGAGCTCTCCAGCCTTAGAAAGAACAAGGGAGCATCAGAGAGGCGCCCAGGGAGAAAGCCGGAAGGAAGTGGGGATCCTCCTGCCTCTCCTCCCTGTGGGTCTGGCTCAGCCCCCGGATTGGAGACAACTCCGACTTCCACTGAGTCGGACGCACACCAAGAGTGCACAGGGGCAATGGGCACCATGTGATTGGTGGCCTAGCCCCCACCAGTGCTGGTGAGGAACCTGGGGGTGGGTAAGGGCTTTTTAGTATTTATTTTCCATTCTCCTCCTGGTTTTGCCTCCCCCAAACCCTCAAAGAAGTGGGAAGAACACTGGGTGTGACGGAACACGCCTGTAGCCTCAGCACTCGTCAGGCTGAGGCAGGAGATTGCGGTGAGCTCAAGGCCATCTTGGGCTACATAGCCAGACCCAGTCTCTCTGCTGAGGACACAGATGACCTCTTACTCCCACCATATCAGAGTCCCTAAAACCAGGGAGGTGATGAGTACCTGCTGAGCCCAGGTCTGGCTGAGAAACTAGGAAAGAGCGCTGTGGATATAGGATCCACTAAAACAAAGACCTTGCGCCCCTGGAGCTTGTATTCTAATCCAGTGGAAGAGATAGACAGTAAACCTATAAATAAAGAAGATACTTTCTGGCAATAATAGATGCTGAAGAAAGTAGAATACATGAAAACTAGAGATTGGAAGAGGAGAGGGGTGAGGGCCATGAGCCACCGTGAGCCAAGGCTGCGAAGAGAACATCTGAGCTCAGATTTGAATGTTTGGAGGGAGGCAGATATGGGAAAATCTACTGAGGAGAGTTTTCTTTTTTTCATTTCTTAGCATTGAGAATTGAATCCAGGGCCTTTGCATTGAGCTATATCCCTATCCCTTTTTATTTTTATTATTCATTTGAGACAGAGTCAAGTTGCTAAGTTGCCCAGGCTGTGCTCAAACCCGTGGTCCTCCTGCCTCAGCCTCCCAGAGCACTGGGATTACAGGTGTGGACCACCATGTCCAGCCTCTAGGGTAGCATTCTAATAGGAGGAGCAGCAAGTACAAAGGCCCTGGTAGGCTGAGGACATAGCTCGAGTCCCATGGCATATACAGACTGTGTCTCAGAGTGTCGTGTTTCTGTGTAAGAATTGGAAAGCTAACTGGATGCGAGCTCAGGAATAAGAGGAGATGGAGCTCTCACACGGGAGTGAGAAGGCAGCACTGGCCTCCATGCGTGAAAGCAGAAGTTGTTCAACACCTCCACCCAACAAGGAAAACGAAGGCTCCCAGGCTGGAGAGAGAAGGGAGAGAGAGGCAGGCGCAGCGCTGTGGGGTAGGAGTCTGGATTTCATGGCCAAGAGTGTGGAGTCCATCTGACTCGCAGTGGGAAGCTCTTGGAGAATGAGAATCCAGGGAGGGAATCATTGCATTCGCAATTTCAAAAGGCCCCCGTGGGGCCAGGGATTTAGCTCAGTGGTGCCGCCCACCTCCAAAGCACAAGGTCCTGAGTTCAATCCCCGGTACCAAAACAAACAACAACAAATGGCCCCTGGGAGGAGGAGGAGGAGGGGGAGGAGGAGGAGGGGGAGGGGCGGCGGCCCACTGGAAGGCGCTGTGGTCCGAGCAGGAGGTGGTGCTAGAAAGGGATGGTGTACTGGATAGGCTGTGGGGGAGCTAACAGGCCTGACTGACGGGCTGGATCTGGGGCACTAGGGACAGGGCCTCAAGGACGACTCCTTGGCTGTGCCCGAGTAGCTCGGCAGATGGTGGTGCTGTGCACTGAAATGGAGAAAACTTGGGAAGGAAGCATCGGATTTGGGAGCTCGGAGAAACCGTAGTTCCGTAGTTCCGTCTTTGTAGCCAGTTCTGTTAAAGCTGAGAGGCCTCTGCTCATCCAAATGCAGCTCAGGGCTGGAGGTACGATCTGGGAGTCAGTCCCCCTCTCTCTCTCTCTCTCTCACACACACACACACACACACACACACACACACATACACACACACACGCGCACGCGCGCGCACACGGAGAGTGTGTAGGAGGACGGAGCCCTAGGACTCCTGTATATTGACAGGTTGGGAGGAGGAGGAGCCAGGAAAGTAAAGTGGAAGGAATGGTCAGTGTGGCGAGAACGGCGTCCGGAGCAGTGTTGCCGGGCGGCGGTGTCAGCTGTGTCCCAGCTGCAGGGAGGCTGAGCTAGCTGAGCAGAGAATGGGGAGGAAGAGGGCACCGTCGAGGGCCTTTGCTGCACGGCGCCGCACAGAAGTGAAGCCTCAGGTGAAACACAGTTCCGGCTCCTTTTGCTTTTTGCCGTGTTTCCCGCTAGAAGAGAGTATCTTCTTACAGTAATGAGGATGGTCCAGTAGAGACAGAGAGGGGATCAGAGGCTAGAGAAAGAGGCGGCACGCAGGGGAGTCCTTGAGAAGATTGGGAGCTGGGGGGGGTCCCGGCACAAGTGTCCTGGAACCGAGGGGACGTAAGGAGAGAACGCGGCCCGCTGCAGGGACCTGGAGGAGGGGCAGGAGGGCCGCTGCCCTCCATCTCTGCTCTCCGCTGAGAGACAGCGCTGCTGCCGTCTGCAGGGCGGGGAAACCACCCGCGCCTGACGATGAAGCTGAGTCCGAGGTGTGTGGCTGTGATGCTGGGGCCGGCGGCGAGGACACCGGGGAGCATCACAGAGGGTGACACGGGCGGAGACTGCAGGGCCTCAGTGCACCGCCCTGGGCGCCGATCGCCTCGCCGGCTCCTCTTACTCCTTCTCGGGCCCTTCCGGAAGCCCAGGGAACTCAGAGGGCGGACTGAGAGCAGCCCTCCCACCCGGCCGGCAGCCGCACAGGAGGACGGAGCAGACAGAGCTGTTGGGGAGGCCCTTACCCGCGATCGGAAAGCCACCGCCCTCAGTGTGAGAGAAGTCCTTCCTTTCACGTAGACACTGATACCTGAGTCACCTTCGTGACAAAGTCTTTGCTGAAAGAAACCAGGTAAGAAAAGTAATCTGTAAAGCTTGACTACATTTTTTACTTATTTACTTACTTACTAGGTATTGAACCCAGGCCCTTTGCACTAACCTACATCTCTGGCCTATCTATCTATCTATCTATCTATCTATCTATCTATCTATTTTAGAAACAAGGTCTGGCTAAGTTGTTAAGTTTCCCGGGCTGGGCTCAAACTTGCTATCCTGCGTCAGCCTCCCAGAGTGCTGGGATTGCGGGCATGCACCACCACACCCGGCTCTAAGTGTTCTTTTTATAACCCTTATTAAAAGCCCCACGGCTGCAGGAGAGAAGGCATGGGGGCCTCTACCTAAGCCCTGACCTGGACGGTTCCCGGGCTGGCGGACGGGAGAAAACCGAGGCCTCGGCTGCAGAGCCCACGGGTTCGCCTGCTTCTCCTCTGTGTGCTGAGCAGGCGGGGAGAGAATTGAGAGCGGGGACAGAGCCTATCAAAGCCTTTCCTCTGGGGTTCTAGGCGCAATCAAGAAGTCTGTTCTCACTGAGAAAGACAGCAGCAAGGGGGCAGCGTGCAGCGCTCTGGAGGCTGAGCCAGTCTGGATTCCAAAGCCCAGCACCCAGGTAAGGATGGTTTTGCTCTAAGTTAACAGAATCCTGTTCTAACCAAGGCCTGTGAATAAGATTAGGGATGGAAATGCTGGACCTGAATTTTATCTAGTAAAACCAAGGAAGGGAGGTACCAATCTAGCATAGATCTTAGTAACCTCCAATTTCAGCTAATTTGATGAATAATTTGGTTTTTGTTGGAATGGTGGGGTGGGGCACCATGAGCACCTGTTTCTCAGAGGAACCGGCCACGTCACTGACACCCGGGCAGCCCTGGTCATCTGGTGGGAGAAACTTTGCCAACGCTGAGTCTCCAAAGAAACCTAAAAACGAAGGCAGAGAATGTCAGAACAGGACAGGCGACCTCTCTGCCTTAGGCAGGGAATAAGGCTACATCCCGTCCGGTTCCTGGGTCAGAGGAAGGGCACGTTTGGACATAAGTGAGCAGTGGTCATAAGGAAGGATGAATGTCTGGGGTGAGGTGCGCCTGTGGGGCTCTCAGAGGGCAAAGGGAAGTTCTGGGCGTGGACAGGACAGGTAGAATCCTCCACTGTGTGTGTGTTGACTTCCTGTTGTAGGAGCCAAACCAGGGAAGACACAATGCGATGTTCCAGCAGGACCTGCTTCGTAGCCTCCTCGGGCATCTCACTCCTGTGGCTCTTCATCACTTTGCAGATCCCCAAGGGGGCTGAGGACGGCCGAGATGTGATACCCATGAAAGGCCAAGTAGCAACCCTGTCCGAAGTTGGGAATCGGGGTGTAGGGTGGGAATGGTGAGGACAGGTGGGTTCCCCAAAGCACCAGGGTTTCCCTCTTCCCTTACATTTCCACCTGAGAGGGTGGAGTTGGGGCCCATGAAGAAACTGCACTTGTTTTTCATGTTTGTTAAGGTACGGAGGGGAGCGGGACTGCTGGAGCCCGGGATCCCTTGGCCAATGGCTCCGCATCCTGAGCATGGGCTGGACTCGCTCTAGGAGGAGTGACCCATTCCACCTTTTCCCTTTGAAAGCTTGTGAGAAGCCACTGGGGATAAATGCTGTTCTTTTTACAGAAGGATTTCTCTGTTTTGTCTTTGTTGATGCCCCAGGAGACCAGTTATGACAGCAAGAAGAACCCGAGGCCACTGGAAGACTGGCACATGACCACCTGAAAATATATGAAAAAAATCCCAAAGAGAAGGAAGAGTGAGGGCCAAGGAGAGGGAGGGGTGGGGCTTCCCAGGGAAACACATATATCAGGAGAGGTGAGGTATCTAGCCACAATGGCACATACCTGGGATCCCAGCTACTTGGGAGGCAGAGGCAGGAGGATCGCAAATTCAATACCAGCCTGTGAAATTTAGTGAGACCCTGTCTCAAAATAAAATAAGGGCTGGGGATGTAGCTCAGTGGATGTAGCACCACTGGGTTCAATTTCTGGAAGAAAGAGGGAGAATATTAGAGATAGAAAGATGGAGAAATGGGAGGTAAGGTAACTAGAGGGAGGAGAAAAGGCAGAAGTTAGTTGAGCTTGGTGGCAGAAACCTGAATCCTGGAGGATTGTGAACTCCAGGTCAGCCTGGACTACATAGTGAGACTTTCTCAAACCAGCCAACAAACAAAAAATGCATAGAAATAAAAATTAAAAATCAAACGAAAAGACAGAACTGCACCCAGGACTATTTTAATTTGATAGACGATTCATTCCCCCTGCCTAAAATATTGACACATTGGGGTAGGAGGAAGGAATTTGCAAATGATGAAGTTGTTATAGTAAGTATTATAGGCTCTAATCAGTGTTATAAAACATTACTGAACATTACAATTTGTTTACTTTTATCTGCAAGATTGTTCCTGTTCATATTGGGTGAGCAACAAGGAACAGGACTCTTCTTACTTTATGTAGCTTTATATTTGAATCTGCCATTGTGATTGACCCCTAGGAATGGATGGCTGTGCATTTTTACAGCATTTAAGTGGAAAGAAAAAAACGTATTAAAATGAAAGGAGTTGGGGCCAGGGATTTAGCTCAGTGGTTCCAGTGCCTGCCTCACAAGTGCAAGGTCCCGAGTTCAATCCCTGGTACCAAAAAATAAAAATAAATAAATAAAATGAAAGGAGTTGAGGTTTCAGTTGCTTACATGCATATTTAGGTAGAGGAATTCAAAGAGTAAGTAAACGAAATGCATAACATGAAAAAGAGTGGATTCACTGGAGGAAAAAAGCTGCTAGAAGAAGGTGAAATCACTGGGTTAGAGCACACGCAAAAGGCAGCTGTGCTCACTGCTGCACCACCAGTGCCCCACCCGGTCAGGCGGGTTTGGAAGAGTCACACAGTCCAATTCTCTTGCTTTCTGGATTTAGACCTAAACTCAGGGGTGAAGAAACTTGCTCAGGATTACACAGCGGCAGAACTGGGACCAGACCCTGGGGCTGGCTGGGTATGTTGGTCCACACTTACTGCTTCAGCACTCTGGGAGAGCGAGGCAGGCGGATCACAAGTTCCAGCCCGGCCTGGACAACCTAGCAACCTAGTGAGAACCTGTCTCAAAGAGGAAAAAAATAAAACAGGAGCTGGAGAATGTAGCTCAGTGTGAAGACGTGGGGTTCAGTCTCCAACACTGCATAAAAAGGGGGGGCTCCTAACTGCCAGGGAAAATCCTTTTTCTAATCTATGTCTTCAAAAAAGGCCTTTGGGAGGATGAACTGGGTAAGAATAAAATAATTATAATAACTAAAATAATAGCTTACACACTGAGCACCTAAATGATAGCCCTTAAAGTTTGAGGCTCAAAGAGTCAAAGGGACCCCCAGGGGCTGAGAATCACCTAGTTTAGTACTTCTCAAAGTCCGGTATGTGCACAGGTCACCTGTGAGACTGTTCAAACGCAGATTCCGAGGAAGGGCTCAAGATTCCACGTCTAATAAACTGGCAGATGAGGCTGCCGTTGCCGGGCTACTTACAGTAGCAGGGTGTAAACATCCCCTCTGCCACCAGGAACAGCAGATAGGAAATAGGAGAGGGAAGAAGGAGAGGAGACCCTGGTAGCGCCCCCCCTCTAATCCTTGGACAATCGTCACCTCCCCTACGCTGACAGTTGTCCCTACTTTACCTCCCCTTAGCATGGCTGACGGTGGGGATCTCTGCACTGTCACGACAGGATCCAAGCAGCCTGGTGCACACGTTGGTCTCCCTGTACAATGCCTCCTCCATGGCCGAGCAGAAACGCCTGACCGTGCTGGCCCACCTGGCAGATTCCGACCTCACCTGGCTCAAAGACACTACTGCCCGTATTTCGACCCTCTTCAGCTCGGAGATCTTGGCGGGGCAGTTGCTGCTCATCCATGCTCCACCTGCTGCCTACCCTACTGTGAGTGGCGGCCACGGTGCTAAAGCCTCCCGCGGGGAAGGCTACTCCAAGAACGTAGACCACGCCTTCCTGATGAGCTTCGCCACAAAGCTCTCTGATTACTTCCTGTTACTAGGGGACGCTGTCTTTTGTGCGCCCAACTTTGTCACCCACATTTATTCCAAGGTGACCGCCCTGAAGCCCAGCCCGTGGGTGCTGCTGGAGTTCTCGAACGTGGGCCTCATTGGCAAACTCTTCCATAGCAGGGACCTCCCCGTCCTGGCCCACTTCCTCCTCCTCTTCCACCAGGAGAAGCCCCTTGACAGGCCGATCCTTCACTTCCGCACCCTCCTGGTCCAGGAAAAGCCGATCCTCTGCAGACCATTCCTCTTCTACCACAGGTTGTCCCGCCCCACCTCTGATGACAAGGAGGACACAGTAGTCCCGAAAAAGAACCCTTACGGCCCTAGCAATCCCTCTGCGTCTGTCTTCACCAACATGAACGTTTCTGGTGCTCACTTTCCCTGGGAGGGCTACACTCTGGACGAGTCGTTCTTCTGGACAGATGACATCCGGCCAGGGAACCACTCCACCGTGGTTTTGAACCACCCAGCGAGGCTGAGCAGAGTGCAGGTGATGACCGGCTCCATCGTGGAGGGAAAGCACGCCCTGAGCAAGAGGCAGGTGCAGCTAGGCTACGACCCTCAGGGGATGCCGCAGGACTGTGGCAACTTTGTGCTGCTGGGCTGGCTTCTGGCAGGGCAGATGGATTGGGAGATACTGCAGGACAGCACAGCGGACCGGTGAGCTGCGTAAGGCTGGTGGTGAAAGCCAATCAAGCTGGTCTCATGGTCAGGCATATCTACCTCTGGGAGAAAAACGCTGTGGAGGAAAACATGGATCAGAGTTGATGGTGAAATCAGTAAGAGTACAACAAATAAAACCGGGAAGCTGCTTTATTCTAGTCTGGATGAGTGATGTAGGGGAGGTACAAGGGAATGAAAGGCAGAAAGAAGACTCATTCTTTGGTGCCATCAAGATGGTAGGAGCTTCATTCTTTCCTTTTTCCATCTACACAAGCAACTTCTCTACTATGATACCTTTCACTGGGGAAAGGCCTTGGTCACTCTCAAAAATCTTGAGGTTTCTAGGATACTCAGCCAGAGAGACCCAAATACAGCGTACACTGTGAGAGTGTGTGTGTGTGTGTGTGTGAACACAAGGGTGAGGTGTAATGTGGTTAGGAGTCTGGTAAGAGGAGGAGGAGTGAGGAAATCATGGGCAGTCTTCAGAATCAACTTTGTTAGAAGCCAAGAAAAGGATTCTCATGAGAAATTGAACTCAAGTTCAGGAAAGGACCAGAAGGACCAATAGCTATAAAGCTAAATCTTTAAACGGTGTCCTTTTAAATTGGGTCAGAGTGCTGCTCTAGTTCCCTCCTTTAAGCAACAAACTTGGGCACAAATAGTTTATAACAAACGCTTCCCTTTTTATAAGTGATTCAATCTGTAAGTCCTCCTCTGTCTTGCTGCTTCTCTCACGATGCTACTGAAACTCTTCCCCGTTTGTAATGGCCAAAGTAGTCGAAACTCAGTGGCATTTTTCAAATTTCACTGTTGTTCTATGTAGCAATACAAAATACTAATTATGTTTTCCTTTCGAAGCTGTCTTCTTCCTGGACTTCTTGCATTCATCCATTAATATGGTATTTATTGAGTGTCTAATATGTGCCAGGTAGAAAAAGCCCTATCTTTGAAGAGATTGTGTTTTTGTGTTTAGCAAGGGGAATACAGTCAGATGTGTTAAGCATCTTGTTGGTGTTGAGTAGTCTTTGGGAACACAAACTACTGTTCCCAAAACAGTTTGGGGACTCATGAAAGGCTTTTTGGAAAATGTGACATCCAAGCCTAATGCCAGGTCATTGTGGAGAAGACAGCCAGCAGACGCAGCAAGAGGGAAGAGGAAATTTTCTAGTAGGGGGGAAAATCAGCATGCAGAGATGCAGGCCAGGGGAGAGAAGGAGCAATCATTCAGTGGGTCTGGGTGAGGGTAGGGTGAGGTAGATGAAGCCACAGGGCTAAGAAAGAACCAGCTTAAGAAGGGTCGTAGAAGCTGGGCTCACGCCTGTAACCCCAGCACCTTGGGAGCCTGGGGAAGGAGGATCAAAAGTTTGAGCCCAGTCTGGGCAACCTGTTGACTTAGAAGAGCCTGTAGGGAACAGGGAAAGGGAACGTTACCAGAACCTCTGCAGTAAGTCCTAGTCTCCTGTGAGCCACGGCAGCACAAGGTGAATTATAGCAAAGGTAGAAAAATGAGACTGAGAAGAAGCTGAGCTTTGGGTCTGATCAGTGCAGCTTACAAAAGGCACCTTTTATTCAGTACTCAGTACGTTGGGAGAAACAAATGTAACAAATGACTTGCAGAGAGTTCAGTACATCCTGGTAAATAAGATGTAACAATCCAAGAACGAGGAACTGAGTAGATGTTTGTTCCTCCCAGGAAGTTTTCAGCTCCCAGGATGTTTCTTGTCCTGGAGAATCACAGCATCACTGGATCATTGAGGTCTCAGTTGTGACTGGAGGCTAAAATGGAATTATGTCTCGGAATTCCATAGCTGGGCTGTAGGCAGGAGAACTAAGCTAACCAAATGATTTTTCCCTAAAATTATGTAGCATTGCTCCCGACAAGAGCCCATCTCAAAAAAATTTTTTAAAAATGTTTTTGGTACCGGAGATCGAACTCGGGGCCTTACGCTTGCGAGGCAGGCACCGGAACCACTGAGCTAAATCCCTGGCCCTAAAATTTTTTAAAGAGATGAAGGATATATCAGTGCAAAGGTCTTGTACTGAATGACCAGTACTGAAAAAAGAAAAAAACCAGGTGTGGTGACACATGCCTACAATCCCAGCCCTCAGGAGGCTGAGGCAGGAGGACTGCCACAAGTTCAAGGATGCCCTGGACTACATCGTGAATTCAAGACCAGCCTGGACTACACAGTGAGACCCTGTCTCAAAAAAGTTTTAAAAAAATATTTTCTTGGCTGGGGATTTAGCTGAATGGTTCTGTTGCCTGCCTCGAAAGTTCAAGGTCCCGAGTTCGATCCCCAGTACCAAAAAAAAAAATCTTTTCTCAAAATGTGTCAGAAAAGCTAGATATCCACATGCAAAAGATAAAGTTGACCCCATCTACACATCATGTGAAAATTAACACAAATAGATCACAGAACTATATATAAAGAGCTAAAGCTATCAAATTCCTAGAAAATTTGTAAATTGTAACCATGGATTAGGCAATGGTTTCTTAGATATGACACCAAAACAGAAGTAACTCAAATAATAGAACTGAACTTCATCAAAAGAAAAACTGTGCTTCTTGGGACATTCAAGAAAGTGAAAAGACAACTGACAGAACAGGTGAAAATTTGCAAATCATCTGATAAGAGATTGTTATCCAGAATATATAAAAACTCTTACAACTCAATTATAAAAAGATAACCCAATTTTCAAATGGGCTAAGGATCTGAATGAACATTTCTCCAAAGACATACAAATAGCCAATAAGCACATAAAACCTGTGCTTTTATCATTGGTCATTAGACATACACAAATCAAAACCATGATGAAACATCACTTCACACTTGTCAGGATGACTGTCATTTTTTTAAAAAGGAAAATAAGTCCTGGTGACCATGTAAAGAAACTGGAACTCCAAGATATTGCTGGTGGGGTTGTAAAGTGGTACAGTCACGTTGGGAAAATGTTTACCAGTTCTGCAAAATCTATACAGTCAAGCAACTCCACTTCTAAGTTTCTACTTAAGAACATGGAAACACACTTCCATACAAAGACATATGAGGGAATGTTCATAGCAACAACATAATAACCCAATCATGGAGACAATTCACAGGGCCATCTGCAGATGGGTGGGTAAGAGAACTAACCATGAACTATTACTTAGCAGTAAAAAGTGATGAAGTGCAGATGCATGCTGTAATGTGCATGACCTTAAAAACACTATGCTACATGACAGAAACCAGTTACAAAGGCTACACAGTATATTATTCATTTATATAAAATGTTCAGAATACACAGTCAGAGAAACAGATAGATTAGTGACCACTGCTGGGAAAAAGCGGAAGGGAGAATGACTACTAATGGGTATATGGTTTCTTTTTGGAGTGATGATGCTATAACATAGATTGTGATCATGGTTGTACAACCCTGTTAATATATCAGAAACTTTTTAAGTGAATACTTAAAAAAAAATGAATTTAGGGCCAGGGATTTAGCTCAGTGGTTCCATCTCCTGCCTCCCAAGCGCAAGGTCCCAAGTTCGATCCCCAGTCCAAAATAAAAGAATGAATTTTATGGTATGAGTTATTTCTCAATAAAGCAATTGTGTAAAAAAAAATATGCCAAAAAGGGCTGTAGAAAAAGTGAAAGAGATTATCTTAATGGCAATAGGAATCAATCATTGCAGAGTTTTTAATCAATCATTGCAGAGTCAGAAAAACGAGTCAAGTTGTGTTTTGGAAAGATCACCGTAGGTATCATGTGAAGACCAGATCAGACTGAGTCAAGATGGGGAAGCCATTTAGAATTAAAGAAGACAATATTGCCTGGCATATGATGCTTAATAGAAGAAACTTCTGTCATGGTTTAAATAAAATGTCCCCCACAAATACTCACGTATTGAGAGCTTCATCCCTATGCAGCACTGTTCAAAATTGCACCTAGAGAGGTAACTGGATCATGAGGGCTCATTCATCAATGGATTAATGGATTGACGAGTTCATTAGCTGAATGGTCTGTTAGGAGATGACCCTAGTTAGAATAAGTAGATCACTGGGGGTGTCACTTTCTTTGAAGGGTATATCTTGTTCTCAGCCCCTTCTTGTGTGTGGACTTTCTTTCACCCTGTTTCTTGACTGCCATGAGGGGACATGTCCTTCCACAGTGATGTTTCTGCTTCGCCACAGTTCTAAAAGTAATGAGCAGGCTGACCACAGACTAAACCTCTCAAACAGTGAGCCAAAATGAATTTTTCCTCCTTTAAATTGATTTCTCTAGGTATCTTTTTTTTTTTTTTTGGTACCGAGGATCGAACTTGGATCCTTGCACTTGCACAGCAAGCGGTGAAACCACTGAGCTAAATCCCCGGCCCTTTTCTAGGTATCTTATTACAGCAACAAAAAGCCAACTAACACAACTTTATATTTCCCAGAAATTGTGTCAAGGTGTAGACAGTGGCTGAGCCCTTGCTTATGTGTCTGTCAGGGCTGTGAGGTCACATAGATGGGAAAGCAGGCCTGGTACAAGAACCCAGTAGTAAAGTGCTCTCATATCTGACAAGTGACCCTCAGCCTCCATGTCTGGGAGATAGTGGAGTGGTGGCCTGGGACAGTCTTGGGTCTGCACACCCCCTGAAGGCAGAGCAGCTGCCCTGCTTTAATGGATTGGTGCCTTGGGGGAAGGTGGGTTCAGGATGGTCAGATATGGTCGTTTTTTGAGAAAAGCTGTTAATCCCACTTTTTAGGTTAGACCTCCCACTTCTTTGAAGGCCAGAGAATAAAAAATGTATCAAAACCCCCCAGTAAATCACAATTTTTAAATACCATTTAGCTGGGGCCTGGGGCTTCCCAGGTTAACAGTTTTATCTTAGGCTACAGCTTCCTCAGATACAACCTGCAATCCATTTAGTGTCAGAAGCAGGGTCACCCAGATGGATTCCTCTGACCTCCCTCATCCCCAGTGACACAGCCTGCCCCGAGCATGGATTTCTGTGCAGATGATGGAGCCATCTGTTGTTGACTCTGTTAGCTCCACTCTCAGAGGCTGGCACTTTCCTGATAGTGGCCCGACTGCTATGTGTGGGGCTTTGATGTTCTTTGTTAGGAATGAGCCATCAAGTGATTTACACAGGATGTTGTAATTTAGAAAGTCCTATCACTGTGCGCTGG